AGATAAATCTTTGTTCTTTTGTTTATTACGAAGCTGAAGGAGCGCGTGTGGCACAGTGTTCTGAGGCGTCCCGCAACACACACACGTAGAATCGATCCCCGCACCATGGCCCATCAAGCCTTTCCCTTCGGGCTCAGCAAATTGGTACCAGACATGTCTGGGAGGATAGCAGCACTATATCGATGCATTTCCAAACGATGCTTAATGAAGTTAAATGCATGGCGCATCCCTCAGGGATTGATCAACGCCGAAAGCTTTAAGGGTGCTGAAACTTAGTCCGGAACATGAAACAGTTAGAACACTTGGATAGGCGAAAGAGCTCAAGGTTATTTTGGTAGTTCTAAGTCTAATGTGAAAAGCATTGAAGTGAAATTCATAAACAAATATAGGTTCAAATGAGAACTGGTCGGTTTCGATGGAATTTGAATGTGCAGCTCTATAGTATTCTGGTATCGATGTCCGTAATCGCGAGTATGGTGCTACTTCGACTCCGCCTCGAGCTAACCAAGCCTCTTATTCCACCGGGGTCAGAAAATTGGTACCGGACTTGCCTGGGGAAAAATCACTTTCTGCAGTCCAAATGGAAACGCTCCAGCCCGGCTATCTCAGGAGTCCAAAGAAAATTGCTCGACCAGCATTCTACGAAACTCGAGTTGAAATGAAAATCCTCAAGCAGAAACCGAAGCCACACGTGAAAAAAAACTTGAGAGACCTTCGTGGACGATGGCTGGGAGGAAACGAATTGAATGTGGAGAGGGCTAGGATCCACATAGTAGACGTGAAGAATGGTCAAACAAAAATAAAATAAAAAATAAAAATAAATTTCGAGCTGAGATATTTGCAAAACTCCGGACTGCAGGTGTTTGCGGTGGGGAAGGAATGCGCTATTGTGCTTTCCGGGGAGTAGCGTGTTCACCACGACACCATGCAAGTCCTTCGTTTCGGCTGTCTTTCAGCTAGTTCTATCGATCTTTTGCCATCAGCAATCACCCGTCAACGGGATTGATCTGGGGAGCCCAAATCGGCGTTGAACCCAGTTAAGCTGAGGCTATAGTTATAAGTTATAGGTGAAAAATCTCCGGTCCGGAGTTTTGCAAATATCTCAGCACTATACGAGGAGTTATATTTTGCAACATACCCTGCCATTAAAAAGAATAGGCAGTAAATAAAAAGTTAAGGTTGTAAATCTCGAGCGTTAACCATAATGACTGCTGCTCGTTTTTTCTTCTTTGGGGCCCCCGTGAATGGGCTGCTTGACTAGAATTTACTCGCACTTGCTTCGAGATAACCATCTAGACAGACTCTTTCCAATGAGGTATTGTGTTTCGCCATGCTTTTTATTCCTTCTATTTTCGATGTCGTTAATAATCTTTTGCACTATGACGTTGGGAGAAGAGAGACTTGAAATCTCAAAAGTGCTACGATCTGAATTTTTGCTATCATGAAAATCAGATGTTATCCACGCACTGCATATCATATCAATCCGTCTGTTTGAGCGTTAAATAAAGTTGATTTCTGAACTTCTTTCCTGATCACACAACATTTATAGCATTCCTAGAGTATTTTGATTCGATCGGGTTCTTACCGAAGGGCATAGCACTATTCAGGGATAAAGCAAATGCAGCTACTACTCGTTCACTTTTTCTTGATGTGCTGCACCATAGTACTCAAACAGTCACATGCCACATATGTTGAAAACGAGTTCTTGTTAAGAGTGTTTAGGCAAGGAACATCCCTTTCAGTTACACAGCAAGGAGGGCGCAAGTGGTGGGGCGACACGATTTAAAGGCTTCCTCATTACTACTTGCTTCGTATGGTAAATAGGCTTCTTTCTTCTCTCTTCATCAGAGCATAGATAACTCCAAACAGAAATCGATTCCTAATCTGCATCTGCTGGCGCGGAACTGGGATATTTTAGGGTACGCGGCCATCACTGTAGCTCTTTATTTCTGTTAATATTTCTGTTAAAATCATTAGATATTTTTAGCACTTGCTATTACGAGATCCTCGCAAGAGAGCATGTGCAACATAACTTGGAGAATCATAACCGATTTCGTCAAAATTTGTACGTGTGCATGAATTTAAGCTCATCAGCTTTCAAGTCTTCCAGTTTTTTTTATATGAATGTTCAAAAGCTGCTCGGTTCAAAAACTTAACTTCTCGGAATGTTTTCAATGACTTTTCGAGGACGAGGATGATTCTTCTGTAGATCTCATCTACTACTCAATAACATTTTCAAAAAAACAGTAGGGCCATAATTTGCTCTGTATCTTTGCTGCCGTCTGAAGGAACTTTCTTCCTTCGCGGTCAGCTTTGATTAGTTTTCTGCTTAACGGCAGAAGCGGTTTCGCTGTGATCGGTGTTTAAATGTATCTGAACCACTGCATGTGTACACACACTGTACACTTTGATTAAATGTCTCTTTCCACTTTACGGTCATGTTAAAGAAGTTTCTGTATATTCTGTTAACAGAGAAAATTTTTTTTTCTATTCCATTCGACTTGTCTAGGCACCAAATTTGTTGTTTATTGCCCATTTAACTGCAAGAGCATGCCCTTGATTCCCAGAATCAAATTTCTTACAATCTCCGCATAGGTCATGGAGTTCTGGTGTTCTTACCAAGCTGACCTGGGTTTGTTATTAGAGCATTCTCAGCATTCGTCTTTATTGGAGCAGTTTTTGCGTATCTCCAACTTGCTCGGAGGCCATGGAAAAGGTGAAACCGGACGGGCGGGATGTAGCTCTTGGAAAAATTGGAGCTCTTACTACCTCGTATCATAATTAGAATGATCGACTTTTGCTCCATTTCACGTTGATAAACAAGTTATTTTGCTTCTATGAACTGTAATTGAAGAGCTAACACGAGATTTTAAGAACACACTTTTATGTTCGATAGCTAACACTTCGACGACTCTGCTTTCTTTAAGGCCTCGGCGTATTGTCATGTTGCGTTATCAGTATTATTCAGTGATTATTTTCTAGTATCCACGGAGACTTAATCTAAAAGCCAGGAACTGGTTTTTTACTAGTATTCATTATTGGTTTGGTATCGCATAAATCAAACTGTGCGAACACCAACACTTCTTCCACTCGAATCGTTTTTCGCGTCCACCACTCACAAAGGTCTTCGACCTCCTAGGGTGTGGCTTCGGTTGTTACTTGAGGATTTTTCGTCTTCGTCACGAATGCTGTTGAACGCTGGTCGAATCGATCTTCTCCAAATTCCTTAGATAGCCATGCCAAGGCGTTCCTATGCAGTTTGCACCGAGTTGATCCAAACACGTCTGTTATTAATTGCCCGACCCCGAAGAGATGAGAGGCTTGGTGGGAATGTGGCGTAGTCGAACAAGGATGGTTAGGTCGTCTACGTATTGGACGAGATCACTACCACTGCTCTACGAGCTTCCAAAAAATACGTATGAGACACTTTCTTCACATCTCTGTTTGTAGAAGAATAAGGAAACCTCCTTACTATTTACAAATGATTACACCTAACGACGATCACTAAAATCTTACTCACCAAAAGCTTGAAACAACAAAAATACTTCATATCAGCTTAACTGGAACACAATCACTGTAACTCCCAAGAGAAATTTTCTGTTAACCTCAGCATTAATCAATAAGCATTAGCTTTGTTAATAAGCACACAGGAGGGTGTTCTTGTCCCATATATTAGTAGTAGTTGATATTTCGGCGCATTTTGTCCTCAATCATAATGCTGAAAGGACTGCTGTCTTGCCAGCCAAATAACCTAAAGCCCAAATTTCAATCGTATTGGAAACAAAATAGCTACTGAACACACAAACGGAAGGCTGGAATTATTTTGTATATGACCCACCTTCGCGTCTACCGTGCGGATCCCAGCATTCGCTTCCTCACATCTACCGTCCACGAGGATCTTTCAACTTTATGTGTGGCTTCTGCTGCTGCTTGAGCATTTTAATTTCATTTCGTATATTGTAGAGTACTGGTCGAGTCAATTTTCGCCGGAGTCCTGAAATAGCCGGGCTGCTCCCATTTGGATTGCAGAAAGTGATTTTTTCTTGGGCATGTCCGGTACAAATATCCCGACCCCGAAGGGATGAGAGTCGGAACGTAATCGAACTAGCCCTATGTTCGTGATGACGGACATTATTACCACTGAGCTATCCGCCCGTTGGCTTGAACTTCAACAATAAAAATAATAAAAAAAGTTGAAACTGTGAAGAAATTGTTTCGTTTTCTGTGTGATTGAAATTTAGGCTTCGTGATTTTTCTTTCGCGGTCGTGTGGGTATTTGGCCGACCATATTGCTGCCAACTTGGTCATTCCAGGCTCTCAAGAAGACGAAATCCTCCGCAACGTCACCTACTATTAGAAAATTGTATAACAACAACCTCATGTGTGGCTGTCAAATGAAAATCAACAATAATTTCTTTTTAAACTGCCATTACACATGTGTGCGAATTTCGCACAACGAGAGATACTGTGAAGATAGTGAAATGGTGAAAGAAATTCTCATTGATAATGTGTCATAAAAATTTAATGCGAAACCTTTAAAGGAATGACTTGGAGATGAGGACGAATGTACGAAAGACATTGAAATAGCTTAGCTCGTTTTCCATCTAGAAAATATATGGCAAAGGCTAGAGTTCCACAAGAACTGGTTAATGGCTGGGTTGAACTATTTGTCAACTTTTTGCTAATAAATTCATCATTTCCCTTTCTACCCCATGTTCTGTTTTCATTCGTTCTTCATCCGCTAATTTTTAAATCCTCTGAGGCACTTATTGGTAGCTGCGGTATAAAGATGTATTACTGTCAAAGCATAACCTCTCAGCAAAACTAGAAATTTATGAGGCACGCCGAAGCTCTGAAAGGAAGCATAATTTGCAGCAAATGCAACTGTGAATAACCCAACAAACCTTGAAGACTACTTTGTGGGGAGCTTTTGTCACTCAAACCCTCCGAATCGTTAATCGAAATGATAACGACTTCTTTCTAAGATCGTCTGAACATAGATGGTTCCCGAGAATTCTCCTCAAATCGTCAGAGTGGTAATCTAATTTCCTTAGATGCAGTCTTCCTTCTGTGACCCTTCAATAACAGTATAGAGATGAGCACTCTCCCATTTGATTGAATTGACGCAGACTAAAGAAGTGAATTGGGAGATGTATCCTGATGTTGACCTCCAACTTCATGACGTCCAAACGCCATGTTGTTTCCCGAATTTCGGGTACCACTATTAGTTTATAAGAAAATTTGCACCCCAAATCTCGTTTTGGACTCTGGCCACAGCCGGTTTCTGCTTGCCCTGCTTTGTTTTCTACCACTTTCTTCTTTTGCCACCGTTTTGACAGGCCATACGTCCACTTTCGAACGAGATCTTGTTCGTCGCATTATTGAGCAAAGGATTATGCACGTGTATATATATGTGTGTACCGTGCGTCGATGTGCATGTATGTATGTATGTATGTACGTATGCATGTACGTATGTATGTATGTATGTATGTATGTGTGTATGTGTGTGTGTCGGTGTTTTTCCATGAATGTTTGAGGTGTTTCCGTCGGAACACATGTTGCGATCGAGGATCACGGGTGGATAGATCTCCTAGCCGAAATAGTTATTTTAGTGTGAACAACCGAATATTTCCGAATAATACTTCCTCCCAACGGTTTGCCGCCTCATCGTGGCTGGGATGTGTTCCTGGGTGTCGGACTGCAATTTACAGCTGAGGGATTCGTCTTCCGGTAGGGTCTCCAAGCTGAGAAGGAGCCCGGCGTTTCCATCAGGAAGCCTAGCTAAGAGTAAACCAATACCAGTATCCACTACCGTCTTGGCATCAAAGTTGCATGGTGGTAAACTTTCCTCTCATCCACAAGTGCTGCGACTGCCTGTCGTGGTGACGACCTGGGGCAGACTTTCGCCTGGCGGTGCTCGGGATTCCAGGGAACCACTATGGTTTAACCAGCAAATCTCCGAAAAATGACGATAATGCTGGAGTCCGCATAACAAATGACGACGAGCTGCTCAAGTATCAAGTAATTGAATATTTGGAAAGGCACACAGGGCAAACAAACCCACGTTTAATCGACCTTTGACCTTTCGCGCTGTTGCCAATTTCTATCAAGTATAAACAATATCCGATTTGTTGACTTTAGAAGTTTAAATTTCGTCTTATTTGTTTAGGAGTTTTAGTTTTAAACAACATTAAGAATCAAATAGCAGGCTTAAAGAACCACAAAATAGATAGGTCGAAGTCTCTTCTATAAAGTAATCCCATTTTCAACTCGTTAAATGCGCCAGTTATCGAAAAATTATCTGCTGCTTGCGGGGAACCAGCTTTATGCACAATATAGCGTCAAGGAGATCTGATGTAGCTGTGGGTGCTGCGGTCGAGTTTCGTTAGAAAATTTCACTGTGTTCCTTGCTTCATTTACCCTAAATATCTCTGTAGTGACAAATTACTCCCCACCTATGGACATGGCCATAAGTGGTTCCACTTCCTATGTGTCCACCGTTACGTATTTGCTCTCGGGTTTTACTACTCATTAAATTTTTCGTTATTTAGAAATGCGATTGTTCTGTGACTGGTTGTCGTGCCACCCGTGTAAAGTCCTCCTAGGCGTGGTCCTTCTTCTCTCTCCACTTCTCAGGTACGGCAAGGTGTATGTAGCATTCAGATTTCTACCTGCAAATGGACTTTTAGGCATTATATAGCAAATAAAAACACATTTGTTTAGTTTTTTCGTATTTCATCCGTTCCATGTAGAGTCGGATGTGCGCCGAGGATTTGCGCAAAGAAATGGAAGGTCGCTGACCGAATTCGAGGTGCAGCTAATCTTTTTCGTCTTCCACTTATTTCATGGTTTCTTTGTCTTTACTAATTTATGATGTATTAAAAAAGACGATAAGTACAAGGTTTGAAATGCAACTAATAAAGGAAAGGAGCGTTCCAAAAGATAGACCAAGAATTAGGAGGTACAAAACTCGGTATAGAGTCTGTTTATTTTTGTTTCACCTTCATGCAGTTGCACTGTTGTGGGAGAAGTAAAGTGAAACTCTGCCATGGTAGAGAGTTCCAGCTACACTTCTTCGCCTTATGCTATTCGAGCACTTCCTAGACAGTGCATTTCTTCCTCGGGTGCCAGTCACCTTCATGTCTGTGGACCTTCGGACTCGGCGTCGAGTACGCCCTTCTTTCATCAGGAGCCTCACGTGCTCGATGAGTTGTTGAGCAGGTCTTCGATGCTATCCTTTGTTTCGAAACTATGATCGAAAGCAGAAATCGCCATCAAACTTAAGATAACCTCATAGGGCTCGTTTCTATTAATAGTTGCTGACTTCTATTTGGCATCTATACGAATAGCTACCAGCTCTTCTTTTTTATACTATCTCTGTTTCCTAGGGCTCTTCTGCATTTCGATTCAACATGTTACAATAGATACCCTAAATATATGTCTGTGATCAATGAATTCGGTCCGTTTCGTCTTGTTTTCCTTCCTGTTTTTGCGTGCTATTTATGAGCAACGACTTTTTCAATTGGTGCTTAGCTCTGCCTTTGTTTTTGAGAACCTTCTCTAGTTGTAGAATTTCTCGACAAAGGCGGCATTTACTGAAAGAGAACCATATAGTCTTCGTTTTCACAATTTTATCGTCGGTCGCGTCATTAATGATTATGTTACTTTTTTATGTATTGCAAATTATTTGAATATAACGTGATTTTAAGGCAACTAGTTCTCGATTTGAGGTATGGGAGGATGATAGGTTAATTGTGTGGTGTTCGCAGTGTCAGAGGCAGGTGGCGAATGTCTGGGCTAGGTCAAATTACTACGTTACAGTCCGTGCTGGAAAACCGATACCATAGCTCTTGGTTTCCAAAGATATCTTTGATGGAATCCAAGCATTTGAATTCATTGCAGAATTGAAATTTCTTTATATATTGGTGTTTGTTCGGATTCCTTACAATCGTACATGTTTGAAGCCTTGATTTGTCCTATATCCTCGACGGCTTTCCAACTTCATACTACGTTTCTAACCATGATTATCCTTAAACTGAATGATGAACTACATTGATGGTAAAATCTTATGGCATGAATATCGGTAGTTAACACAATTATTAAATTTCTTAGGGGCGCGTGTGGCGCAGTGGTCGGAGGCGTCCTGCAGCACACACGAGGAATCGATCCCTGCGCCCATGGCCCACCAAGCCTTCCATCCCTTCGGGGTCGAAAAATTGGTACCAGGCTTGTCTGGGAGGATAACAGCACTGGCTCGATACATCGGTAGGCCACTGCGTGTCATTGTAAAGGCGAGATATGCATTCAATCACCTCCAAACGACACTTAATGAAGTCGAATGCATGGCGCATCCCTCAAGGATTGATCAACGCCGAGAGCATTATCCTTTATCCTTTATTAAATTCCTATGCCAGGATTTCTATTAATTTGGTCATTGCTCAAATAATTCTCCTTTTGAACAAACTTGTTGTCACTTTATTCTTCTTTACGGAAATGCTGACGTTTCGCAGGATTTCGCTTTCTTCAGAGTCTGGAAAGGTCAAGTTGACTGCAATCTACTCAGCCCAACACCTCCATAACAAGACAGAGAGGATGCTAAAGCAAGACTTTAATTGCATTGTTTGCATACCACGTTTCTGTTGAGATTGGAAATAGAGACTTGGTGAACTTCACGCGGAATCGGATCAGCACCGTGCTCGTGATGGACAGCATCACTACAACGGCGTTGATTGCCCCTCTGTTTTATCAAAAATTGCTGCGTATCTTCTGCAGCTTTATATTTCTTATTATATAGGAATATATAATTTTTTTACCTGTTTTGCATTCTACACCTGGCTTAAAATGTTTTTCAGAGCCAGAATTTCTTCGATTTAGTTCACTGATTTCCATCCGTCGCCCGCGAAGGTCTTCGAATCTGCTTGTAGATTCGACTGTACTTTGTAAACTTTGTTTTCATATCACGTAGCTTAATACTGGTTGTGTCGTCGCTCTCTGGAATTCTGAGATAGCCCTCCTATAACGTTCCTAAGCTTTATTACTGGCAGGTGTCTACTTTTATAGATCGCAAAGAACATTACCCAATCGAACGTGGTCCTCTTTTGCCGGGATTGAGAAGATAGCCACGTTAGTTAGCCATGGGTTAGATCGAAATAGTAAATCGAGTTAGTTGGCCATGGATGAACTAGTATGAACGAGTTAGTTGGTCGAACTAGTAACCATGCGTCTATTGTTCGGCGCCTCTATTCACTGCGATTTCCAAACTCAATGTGACAGATTCACATCCAAGGAATTCAATGCCTTGTCCTGAAGAGATCGTTTCACACTCGCAAAACTCTCATTATTCGCGTGCGCTAGTGTTTTTCTGTTTTTCTCGTGTTGGGTGATGGCACTAGTGTGCTGTGTGTTCAGTGGGATTGACATGAGCTCGCTGAACTCCATTTGAAAAAACTCGTATGTTTTTGTTTGCATAAGAAAGAAATTAGTTCAGTCCCTAGATATTTACCCTTGATTGTCCAGAATCATTGCAGTCAGCGTCATTAAAAACTGAGTAGCTGCTCTCTACTTTTTTAAAACGCCGCCCGCCCATAAGATCCATCCGACGTTTTCTTGACAACGGAAACGGAAACGGAAAACTTCTCTGCGAGGGAAAACCAGGCTTCGTTGGCTGGTTTTTGTTTCAGGCATTTCTCCAGTAAAAATCGAAGTGTAAAGTGTAATAAGTGTAATCGAACTTCTTCCCATCAAAAATGGCCGATAACTTCCTGTGGTAACCATATGAGAACGCTCTAGTACGGCTATAAAACAATTCTAGAACAGCTTGTAGCAGAACATGAACTCTTACCAAACTCAAATGCGAATCTGAATACCTCTGCGGGTGTCAGCAGCAAGCAATGAAAACGAAAGGAATGTAAGCAATGCTGGAAGGCGAACAATATGTGAAGCATCGCCATCTAAATATAAAAGTAGTGGCCACGTTTTATATTACATTCTATACTACCCTTAGTTCGCTACTTTAAAAAGGTTGGAAAGATCTGAATGTGGACTAGTCTGAACGTCGTTAACTCTAAGTTTCAACGAGTTGGTGAGATTCTTTCTGGAGGTACAGCAGCCGATTGACGGGATGCTCACTGTACCTAACGCGAAAGGAACATTAACGCTTTTGACCAGTGGGAACCTGATAATTCCACAACACCACTGACAAACCACTAAGCAGGCATAAGGGTATTTTTCCATTCCTCTCGATGCGTGGATTGTATTGGCCCCTCTGTGTCGTTCAGCTAGTTGTCGAAAGGTCAATAATTGTCGCAGATAATCCTACTCGAAAGTTACCGTTTTCCTCGCACCCGTCTCATTGCAGTTGTTCAGGTTCTTTTCAATCGGTCGTTTAATGACAGAAAGACTCCCACATAGTTGCTGACAGTTCAACCATTGAGTGGTTCAATTTGAAATCTTCACTAGAACGTTTTCAGAAACCATTATGGAGAGTTCGTCCGTCAATCGTACTTCTCTCAAACGTTATTACTGTTTTGCATTATTTATGTTGCACGTCAGTCTAGCTGGACGTTCGTTGCATAGCTTGCAGAAAACTGCTCGTTCTTTGTGTTTAGTTGTCAGTTGAAAATTGTGGAGAGGAGCTCTGTAAGATCGAATAGATGAGAAAAAGTGAGAAAAGCCCTTCCATGATTTATTCACATTGCAGACAGATTTACGTTCTACATTCTACATTCTACGTTTAAAAAAGCAATGCCGAAGCGTCATTGCCTTATTCTAAACGTTTTATTTAGCCGACTAAGAGTAAAATTTTTGAGTGTCGAGAGTAATCAAACGTTCTCAAATATTAGTATAATCCGATCTTGCAGGAATACTGTCCAAACCAATGAAGGTAAATACTGTAATCGTTAGTGGATTGACAATGTAGTTTCAGAAATTTGCGGAGTTTTACAATATCACCAGTGAGGGACTTGTGATCTGGGTGATTTTGGTGACAAGCAAGCGATCTTCTGGGAAACAGGATATGAAGATGTCTGCAGAAATCCTTAACGAGGTTTGGGAAACATTTATCGATCTCTGCGAGCTCTATAACGGTAATCAATTTGAAAAGAATTGTTGAAGATTGAACGGCTTGATGAATTCGTCACTAACACTTCTACAACATTCGATGGTGAATGGGTTCATTTCAAGGACATAAAAAGTACTGAAATCAATGATGTATTCCATTGGTATAAGGTAAAGAACTAAATAATTACAGTAATATTAAGAGCGATAACAGTGGGACTTTCCTTCCTTTCTGCATTCTCTATTCTGTGAAACAGTTCGAAATATATAAACTTGGAAACTGAAAACTAGCTGAGAGATAGTAACGGCCTCCGTGGCGCAGTCTGTAATGCTCGAGTCCTCAAGAAAAAGAAGTCGTGGTTCGATTTGGCTCGGGATCGAAGTTCTGCGAATATCTCAGCATCGTTGCGGTTGTAATTCACATAGTACCATGCCGTGAAAAATTACAACAAAGAGAAAATGAAAGGTTAACATTGTGATTTCGAATTCACCCTCGATATAACGGGGTTCAATCACATTTTGTGCTCTCTAGATCAATCCCGCTGACGGGTGATTGCCGGCAGCAGTGTTAGGTAGAGAAACTAGCTGAGAGAATTAAAGAGCAAAGGCCTCCGCGGCGCAGTGTGTAATATGCGAGCACCCGAAAAGGAAAATCATGGTTCGATCTGACCCGGGATCCAAGTTGTGCAAATATCTCAGCATCGTTGTGGTTGTAATTCACATCATACCGTGTCGTGAAAAATTATAGTTGGCAGGAAATAGAAAGTTAGCAATATGAATTTGGGTTGGGTAGTTCGTGCGACAGTGTGCCTCTCGTCCTCAGGCATGCCACGTGAAACTTTTGCGGGTTCCGCAGCGCATGATCTCAAAGTTGGATAAGAAAACCATTGTACAAATAATGTTAGCGCCTTGACAGCGACTTTGGCATATACGTGCAAGTGTAGCTGTGTGGGTGGACGCTAATGTAAACGTATGGGCTATCAAAATTACCGATGGAACATAATTCTGATTTTCTTGGAATATCAAGCCAACGAGGAAATGATAATCAAAAGAGGTGCTGATTGTTAAAGCCGAAATTAAATGACGGTCGCTTTGAAAAGTACTGAATTCTGGTAGTTTCTATGAATGTTTTTCCTTAGTCTGAACCTATCACAGCAGGCCAATTTTTGCAAGCAGCTAGCTTTTAGAGGTGATCATTAAAGGTAGGGTTGCATTTCGGCAAAGTAAGGCACATAAAAGCGCAACCATAGCATGAAAGCGCTTAATTCTATTGTATTGTGCCTAGAGGCTGTTATGCATTCAGGTAAATAGTCCATGTCCTTAAATAAAATGTCACTGAAATACTGCTATGCTCTTTTGGTTGGCCAATCATTGTTTCGTTTTCTTATAAATAACAGCAATTTTTTAGATGGTTTTCTTACATAAATTCGCTCATAACAGTTTCCAATTTTTTCAAGACCGCTGTAACAGGAGATTTTTATCTTAGTACGTATGCCCTGTACAGTAAGAGTTTACTTCTAATGACGCAGCTCACTGCTTTCCGGCAATGAGAACTCAATGACTCCACTTTGACGCTATCGAGAATCCTCATTCACTAGGTAACAGCCTGAACTGGGTGCTTGCAAGTAGAAACGGCACTGCAACGGCAAGCAGCTGCATCATTTCAGTTTAAAGTCTCTGAAATCTAAATATTATTGTCAATTCAAATAGAGATATGTTCAGTGGTATAAAACTTGTCAGGTAGAAATAGCATCTTCGAAATATTTAACAATGAATATTTCACATCATGCTTTGCCATGAAAAGGACTAAGAAGTAAATGAAAAGTGACTGCAATGTGACTTATGCCACACCTTCAGCTTAACTGGGTTCAGTACTGATTCGCTCTCCATAAATCAATCCAGTTGACGGGTAACTGCTTATGGCACCTATAGGTTAAAGTAAGGCTGAAAGAAAAGCGGAATGAGGAACTCGCATGATGTGGTGATGAATGGGCTAGCCCCTGAAAAGCGTGCTTGCGAGTTCGATCCCCACCTCAAACACCTGAGGTCTGGAGTTTTGCAAATATCTCAGCATCGTTATAGTTGTATTTCACATCATGCCTTGCCATGAAAAAGGATAGGCAGCATACAAAAAGTGACTACATGAAACATTGTTTAGTCGCTTAAGTCATTTTGCTTCCTCTCCACCACATTTTCTGCCAAAACCACCAGCAAATTCTTGAATAGAACACTATTTGTGGTTGGTAAACTTGCCAGATTGAACAACAATCTGAAATTGCACCACGAATTTCTATCTTTCTATAGCCCTTTCCATAATGGTTTGCAGTTGATCCGCTGCGAAAAGATCTTTCTAGCGACGATTCATGGTATTTAACAGGAAATTCGTTCTACGAACATGTACATCCGTCTTAGAGGTCAAGGTCAAAAACGTAGATCAAAGCAGCCATCCATAGAAGCTTCTTTATACCCTAGGCAACGTTGAATATCAGATTAAGGAGCAGAATGGTTAAGTACTCGCCAATGGTGAAATCTAATGTTCTCAAGTTCGATCCCTCCTGGGATCGAACTTGTGGATTTTGTTAGCCAAAACTGCAAACAAACGAACGTGACTTGAGGAGAAGGGCACAAACGTTGATGACATGAACGACAGTCGTAAGGAGCAAGGAACGAATAAAAACTTCTCTGCGTTTCGTGTCTTCGCACTGCACAATCCTTTTTCGCTACTTCTGAATAGTTCAGCCAGTAAATAGTAGTTTCGAAATCACTACATTACGTGTATTGCCCATGTTTTCAATAGAACGGATACCTTTTTGCCAAACCTGGGAGATAGAGACTTGCTTAATGTGCAGTTCATCCTGAACGAAGAGCACATGTAAATCGAATTTTTCTCTCATGTAGAAGCAATTTGTCTCAAGCAGTTGTTTGTTAAACCGTCATTCTCATTTAGAGTGGCTTGTTGTTTTGTAGGTTTCTTTATTCAATAGATGAAATTGACGAAATGCCATCGTGGAATGAATTTCATTTCAGTACGCCTACAGTTTGTCGGAGTACTTCTCCGATATCCACCTTAATTTTCCAGTTAGCGAGGCGATGGGTCACAAATTCTTCATCGGTAACCATTTCTTTGGAGTTAACCTCGACAAAGAATCGCAGGTTTGTTTTGTTTTTTAAGACTTGATATATTAGTGGAAGTAGTTAAATCCATAGTAATCCAGTTAATTTAACGCAAGATGTATTTGCACTGCCTTAATATTTTGTAGGACCTAGTAGAGAAGAAATTTTAGAGCGGTCCTATTGAAAGCATGGAGTACGTGACACTATGGTACATGAATCAAGTAGAAGACATTTCGCAGAGAAGGAAGCTGCAGGCAATCCAGATGGAACTATTCGAAAGAAGCCGTCTTGACAACTTCAGTGATTTGATCAGTTTCGGCATTTATGGAGATCAAGTGAGTTTAGCACGGATTTTTCCTCGTTTACTGAAGTAAACTCGAGTTGCAGTTGAATAACTGAGGAGAGAGATAAGTAAATATAAATAAATAAGGACCACCAGTTAGTTCCTTAGAAATGCACATTCAGTTCCACTCGTAGCATGGCAGTGATTCTATAAGTGATTAGACGTATATTTGTAAGCATACTTTACCTCCACAATGAATTATCGAGAACTACCGATGTCTGCCGACCTAACGACCAAGCAAACCCGGAAGAGATCAGGGACGTGGTTTGTTCAAGAAGTGCGATGGCAAGAAAGACCACGTACGTTCTGCAATATACCGCTAAACTCGTGGCCAAGCTTTTTGTCCTTCGCACAAAATGCACAGCGTTGACAGTTTCGTTAAGACCGTAGTGCATAATTTCACTGGACTATCAAAATATGGGAGGATTTGGCGACTCATTTTTTTAGTTCAAAGTACTGAGAAATCACACAAAACAGATGAAATGAATTTGAACTGACCATCTAAGCATCTTGTTAGTTTACTTAACCAAAACGTTTCACTGATAAGTCAAATTTAGATAGCGAGCAAAGAGATGCTCCGAGGAACACAGAGCACCGTGAAGTTCTTCATACTGGGAGTTGTCCTGATGGTTGTGTTCATGTCATTTGCTTTCAATCACATTGCCTTTGGCTCGAAGGTAAGATTATCCTAAATTTGACATTAATGGAGAGCCACCAACTGGACGTATTTGGATGACATATTCGGAGTGGAGAAAGAAAATCTAAACAAGAAACTTCAAATCTGATAACCACAGAACTATGATCACCCATATGTTTTTGAAATCAGTAATGGATAACTTAAAGTGCTGCTGTCACGCTGCACTCGTTGCCTGAGTTTCTACGTAAACCGTTCTCTTCTAACTTTTTATTTACGCTTCCACTGGTTATCTCTAGAGAGAATTTGCAAGTTGACGACGACCTTTCAGCAGATTCTCATCGTTGGTGCTATCGGCGTTCCTGCCACAGCCGTAGCTACGTGTTTTGCGATTCTTGGTTGGATTAAGTTCCCCTTCAACTCAATTATGTGCATTACACCATTTCTCGTCATGGGTATCGGTCAGTATTTTTACAAAAAGTAACAAAAGCCGTTAAACATTCGTGATCTATAGTGGAATTTCCTAGAAGTTTGGAAGGTTTTCTCACGCGGCTATTTTGCTTCGCAACATTGCGTCGGATATCCCAAACACGGCTAATTAAACAATTATACAAATAACTCAAAAGGAAACGACATTTGAGTAACTAATCGATATAACTGTCTACCTATCTATCAATGTGTATATATATATATATGTGTTTTAAATTTCTGGGCGTTTGCGAGGTTTAAAAAATCTTTTATTCGGCTAAAATTTCGATGCCTTCGTCTCACATTAGAGTCAATGATCCGAGTCCATGGTCCATAGCTGTTCTACTTCTCGATGTGGCGTCGTCGTAATCGCACCGAGGTGGATATTCTCGTCAGTGGAACACTACACGAATGAGGCATGCTCACCTGGCAGTGCTCCTTCATACAAGGCGACTGTTGCTGACATGACTATCCGTTAATAACAAGTTGTTTTTCAAGGGCGATCCACACTGCAGCAGTCGGTATTGTGATCTAGCACATATATACATATAATATGTATGTATATATATGTATCTATGTATATATGTGCCTTATATACATATATACATATTCTTACGAACAGCCCTTGTTTATCCGACGCGAGGTTGGTATAGATGTTTTTATTGTTATTTCGGCAAGTGCGCCTTAGTCAGAGCCCAGATGTATGATATGTAAAATTAACCCCATAATTTCCTGAAATCTATAGTATTAGTGAAAGTCCAGCAAATGAATAAACGCCAATTTTCCAAAATATGCTCACCACACCACAAGACCACCTTAATGTTGTGTGCGGGAGATGACGAGTAAGATCCACCCGTGGGAACGTTTATCAAAAAATCATTCTAGGATGAGATGTCGTGTCACGTGTGAGAGTGAGGCGTTCATCTTTCCGGTTCATCTTTGGGCTTTGGAAATTTATCCAAAACGCCTCAAGACTCTTGCGCGTTGATGTGTTTGATTCCTGCTCTAAGATCCGAACGGTCACTTCAAAATCATCACCATTGTGCCTTTGTGTCCTATGTGTGCCTAGAAGAGTCCTAGTTTTTTGTTTTCTATGACCCGTCTTCACGTCTAGTGTGCGAATCCCACACTTATGACATTCGATTCGTTTCCTCGAAATCCACTGTGCACGAAAGTTTTCCAACTTAAGTGCAGCTACGGTTGCTGCTGCTGCTTGAGGAATTTCATTTAATCTTGAATGTCCTAGAATGCTGGTCAAGCACACCATGCTCGTGATGACCGACATCACTACCACCGTGTTATCCGCGCTCTGGCTAGAAGAGTACTTTGTCGAATTTTACGTTTCCCATCTAGATGTTCTTTTTGCAGACACAAAGTGGTCTATCCGTTTCCCCAATATATTCCTCGCCGCATGCCTTCAATGAGGTAAAGTGTGTTGTACATAAACTAATGCAATCCCCGTCTCTCCTGTTGGGTCAGACCAAACAATCGTGAAAATTCTTTTTTAAAGAGGAAATTTCCTGAGCTCCACGAATGATAATATAGGAGATTGCGAACTAATTGACGGCGCAGGTTATCGCCCGAGAGGTCAATAACCGCCACATAACTTCCGAGGCCACTTTTCTGAGGCGCCTCTTAATGGCGTAACTTATTTCATTTAAAATCGACGGTAGCTTGAAAGGTATCTTATTTAGGTTTGGAACATATTTTCGAATACGACCCACTTTTTGATCAGACCCGAGTGGTTTTTTCTGCGCAGCCATTGGAAAGGCCTTTTCTGTGCCAAGTTTTGCAATTTCTTCCCTTCCTTTTCTCCCGTGCACACATTTTTACCTGTTCGATAGATGTTTTCGATGAGCCCTCTTTTAATGTGTTAAGGATGAGAGGATAGAGAAAGGAGAGGGCACTGGTATATTTTTACTGTTTCGTTTTCGATACCTTTTCTTAAGCAGCCGCCTTATGAAAGCATTATTTGGATGTTTAAGAACGGAATCCAATTGCCCGTTGGTAAATGTTATTTACTGCGACTGTATATTTAACACTTTTAACTTCTTATTTTCTGCCTACTCTTTTTTTATGGCAGGGTATATTGCGAAATATAACTTCAATGATGCCGAGATATTTGCAAAACTCCGGACGGCAGGTGTATGTGGTGCGGAACGAACGCGCTATTGTTCAATCCCGCTGACGGGTGCTTGCTGTGGCAAAGGTCGATAAAACTAGCTGAGAGATAGGCGAAACGTAGGACCCGCATAGTGTGGTGCTGAACGCGTTACTCCACGGAAAGGACAATAGTGCGTTCGTTCTCCACCGCATACACCTGCGGTCCGGAGCTCTGCAAATATCTTAGCCTCATCGAAAATGTCTATTTAACAATTCAAAGCCTCGTCTATCTGTTCTTCTGTGGACCGGAGCGGACGATGCCGCAGTCATCTATGTATCGATAGTTGAGTAAAAGTTGGCAACAACAATAACAACAACAACAACAAAGACAACAACAATAACAACAACAACAACAACAATAAAACGTTATTAAGAGCAGCCATGCGAAGCTCACGTCAGCTAAACAGAGGCGCTTGGCAAGAACATTTACGTATATATACATAGATATACATATAACTATATATATATATGTATATATATACAATGTTAATGCAACAACCGCGTAATAAAATTCAAAACCACCGCTTAGCTTAGTACACCAAAATACACGCTGAATTGCTTCCGTGGACAGAAGTAGTACACGCAAAGGATTGCATTAGCAATAACGCTGAGGCACGTTCATGACAAAGTGCTAGCACACAATTAAGATTCTATATGAATAGAACCGAACAATCAAAGCCTGCTTTACGAGATAAGTAGTTAGGCTTTGATTGTCTGGCAAGGTAGCAGGCTCGAACCATCAGACTATCCTACATTGTTCCGTGGGATGGATTGTCCTCGATGTAGGGCAAGCATGCAAGTTTTCTGTTATTTGAAATAGATTAGATAGACAAGAGTAAATTCCACCATGGGAAACACGTACTCGATATAGGGCATACTAGACTATATGACTAGGTAGAAATATCATTATAATGTAATATTAGACATAAAGACGCGTGTGACGTACTGATCGGAGGCGACCTGCAATAAAAATGGGTTTGATCTCCGTGCCCGTGGCTCACCAAGGCTTCCATCCATTCCTCCATCTCATCGGAGTCGGCAAAGTGTTACCAGACTAGTCTCGGAGGATACTACCCCTGGCTCGATACATCGATAGGCCACCGTGAGTCATTGTAAAGGCCAGATATGCATTCAGTCACCTCCAACAATGCATAATAAAGCCGAATAAATGTCGTATCCCTCAGGAATTGACCAACTACAGCTAGAGACTAGAGCTTTTACATTTTTTTATCATGATTAAGTAGAATTTAACGCACACTTTTAAACTTATGAAGTCGCGATGGTTGCATGTGTTTAGGTGTCGATGATGCATTTCTTCTGCTTCATTCTTGGCGTCGTCACGGCCATCTTGAAACCAAGGAGAGGATGCGTACTGCTGTACACGAAATCGGGCCGTCCATGGCCATCACGTCAGCGACGAATACACTAGCGTTCGGAATTGGAATTGCGTCATCGACACCTGTGGTGGGATAAGAACCATTCGTATAAATCTCAGCAAATTGAAGAGAAGCAGCTAAAATCGTTGCCGACATGTGTATGCATCCAGTTGATTGTTTCTAGCCTCAATATATAAACTTGTATAAGGCAGTGCCTTTTTCGACAATTTGGCAATTTAAACGTTATGTTGTCGAAGACAAAGCGACCCGGACACGTAATACGTTTGAATGACATCCGACGGACAAGAACTGATACCGACTGGGTTCGTCGGTATTTCAAGCGAGCAGCGGAAAGCCATCAACACTATAGTAAGAATTGTTCACAAATATACTAGAGGAAAGATATGATGCTCTACGAATTTCTCGAGCGAGCAGAACCTACTGGGCTATTCTTGTACGAGGTAGGAATAATTAGAAAGTTTAGTGGTGCCTTCTCAAGTTACTCGGCTGTGAACGGGGTGACAGGTAATACTGTTAATACTGTTGCCTTTACAAAGTTTCTATGAAAATGGAAGCGCAGTCAAGTTTAAAGGACACATTAATTTCTAAAACTTGATAGGAGGACCATAAACATCTAGTTAGGACCAAAGAATAAGGCAGCAGGCAACGGAATATCTAAAAAAAGCTATTGCTGGAGCGTTAGATGCATTTGCTTTTGACGTGTGTGAGCACTTTAACCCCATAAAAGATTCATCAAGAACACTTATGAGATGGTGGTTTACAGTTTCAGATGTTGAAAAGCTGAATAACTGGGATATTTAATGTCAGATTTGCAGATGAGCGCATTCTGCCTGTGCACCTGCATTGCAATTTGTTTGGATTTCGTCTTCGAGTTTCTCATCTTCTGCCCATTGCTTGCTTTGTTCTACAGGGAAAGAGGAAGTAAAGCAGTAAATCATCTTGCGTAAGTCAGTTCCACAATTCCATTTTGTGTATGGCGTCTAATCATTGCCACATTTTAGGATTTTTAGGTGGTTCTCGTGGGATGCCTATGTCAACGTGCTGTCCTCGCCATTCGGACGTCTTTTCGTCGTCGTGTTCATGTTTTTCATTTATGTTTGTGCATTTCTTGGGGTCAGAGAGATGAATCCAGCGTTCGATCCATCGAAGACTTTTCCAAGAGATTCCGATCTTCTTCTTTTCCTACAAAAGTTCCAGAAAATACAACAGGAAGTTCGTTATTTTTAGCAAAATATGTACAGTGACTAGTTGTTAAAGTCTTCAATTCCATTACAGTATACTCCTATCAACTTCATCAGTCTTATGCCCGACTTATCAAATTCTCATGATGTTATGGCTTTTTTCGAGATGATACATCGGCTTGAGAATAGTGAGGGTTGTTATGGTCCCGAGCGAACTCAGCTTATGCTCCGCAATTTTATTGAAGTACTGAGTGGTCGTGCTGTATTTTTTACGGTTCTTGTTAATAATTTGTCGTTTGTTCAGCTTCTTCTTTCAGTGGGAAAACACTCATAACAATTCACAGTCGTACGAAGACCTCCCGAAATTTCTTGAAGAACGCAAAGTGAAGGACAGGGTCGTCATCCAGTACAGTGCGAACAATTAAGTTTATCAAATGTTTGTGTCTCTCCTTATAAGATTTTCCGCTGACTTCTTTTAGTGAGACGGTGGAAAATGTTCGAGCAAACTTCGTTGTTATCTGCCGAGGTACTTTTGAGTTTACCTTTTATTAAAATATCTGCCTACGATGGTAAATCTCAACAGGAGTAAACCAAAAATTCGTTTGTTTGGGATATCGCTTCGGCTTTTTTTTGTGGGTCATAGAAATGGTTACGGACTAGTTGCGGCCTCAGATCGTTCGGTAGTAATTCATTGCTATGGGTCGCCCTAGATCGACCCTTTTAAGCAACATTTTAAAGCTGTACACTTTTTCGTTGGAAATAAAGGGCGTGATAGGGGGACTTCAGGGAGGGAGGTGTGGGGTTTCCTCTACATATCTCGAGAAACTACAGTTTCGTAGTCAATGTAAATGGCTATTTGTCGTCCCATTTTCCGATATTCTTCCTCCTCCACTTTTCCTAAGCATACGCTGGTGGCTATTCATAACATGCTTCTCATAAACGTTTTTCTGTATGTGAGGAGTGATAGGTAAGGTAATGAACCACTAAGTTTTACTACCTGACTTTCGGCCCGATTTTGCAATGTAGCTGTTCACAGATAGGTTAATTTGAATGTCCTGAAATGAAAGCCAGTTCTTTTTCGGTTTGTGCCAGATGAATGTTATGTTCTCTGAGTGTTCATTCAATAACCCAAAACATTTCTCCATCTCCTCTTCTGTGCACCAGATGACAAAGCAAGCGGTCTTTTGATTCCCCTGACCGCAAATCGTGAACGATGGGTCCGAAACCAAATTTCCATGATAACAAAATATTCACGCTTGTATGATGGAATCGTCAACTGCTGCCTTGTGAATCTAGCCCATAAGAGTCCCACGATTCCAGAGTCTTGAAGCGATGCTGTGGATAAGTCAACCTGTTGTTGGAGAGGATGTACAGGTTCTAATGGTTTTTATTTTGTTTAATGAAAATTGTCAAGATAAATAAGTAGTGCTTAAGGTTTTAGACCGAAGTTCTTTTCGAAGTTACCTTATATTATTAGCCAGTGCCTAAAGCGGTTATTTTATTTGACCCGTCTTCACGTCTACTGTGCGGACCCCAGCACTTCTCACATTCGATTGGTTTCCTCGCATCCATCATCCACAGAGATTTTCCAACTTTACGGGTGGCTTCGGTTGCTGCTTGAGGACTTTCATTTCACCTTGAATGTCGAAGAATGCTGGTCGAGCAATTCTCTCTGGAGTCCAGGGATAGCCGAACTGCAGCGTTCCTGAATGGTTTGCAAAGATAATTCAATGTTTTTCATCAATAAGCAGACACGAGGTTGTTAATATAGAATTTATTAGAACACAATTGCTGACGTTTCGGCGGTTTCGCCTTCTTCAGAGCCGTTTATTTGTTGTAAGTATTTAAGTTAGTTGGTGGATAGCCGCCGCACAGAGTAATACGGCTATCCACCAACTAACTTAAATACTTACAACAAATAAACGGCTCTGAAGAAGGCGAAACCGCCGAAACGTCAGCAATTGTGTTCTAATAAATTCTATATTAACAACCTCGTGTCTGCTTATTGATGAAAAACATTGAATTATCAATTAATGCCGAGGTTAACAGAAAGTCGGTCATGGGTTTGCAAAGAATTATTTTTTTCCATAGAAGTCCGATAGCAATTTCCCGTTCCCTCGGGGACTAGGGGCTTGGTTGACCCGCTGCGGAATCGGACTCGCACCATGCTCGTAACGAAGGGCGTCACTACCACTGTGCTACCTGCTCCCTATACGCCAATCGGTTAGGTACGGACAAGTACAAACTATTGAATTTAAGGTGATTTGGACTGGACTCGAAGAGCTATGAAAATCGACTCTATGAGAAAAATAATCGACGACTATGCGAATTTCAAACCGAGCCTCTTTGATTACGATAGCACTATATACGATCTCATCATCACTGTGAAGGTAAGGTTATTATTTACAGTTCATCGAATCTTTTAAGAAATTTATCATCCTTAATCCAGTCAACCACTCACTCCGTCGAAAACGAGAAAATTCATGCATCTTTACCGCGGACCAAATATGTTCATCTCAATTTTTAACTTATTATTTACCGCCTACTCTTTATAACGCCAGGGTATATTGCGAAATATAACTTTAATGATGCTGAGATATTTGCAAAGCTCCGGACCGCAGGTGTGTGCGGTGGGGAACGAACGCGCTATTGTCCTTTCCCGGGAGTAGCGCGTTCACCATCACACCGTGCGGGTCCTTCGTTTCGCCTGTTTCTCAGCTAGTTCTTTCGATCTTTTTGCCATCAGAAATCACCTCGATTTGGGCTCCCCAGATTAATCCTGCTGATGGGTGATTGGTAGAACCAGAACTAGTGGTGAGAACTAGAACTGGTGATGGTGATAAAACTAGCTGAGAGAGAGGCGAAACGAAGGACCCGCGTGGTGTGGTGGTGAACGCGCTACTCCCGGGAAAGGACAATAGCGCGTTCGTTCCCCACCGCACACACCTACGGTCCGGAGTTTTGCAAATATCTCAGCATAATTTATGTTCATCTCATTTAAGATTCGTTATAAACACTAAATTTCACGTGACACTGTTATTATTAAGCATTTTTGTGGTAACGGAGCCATGTATGGCTTTCAACTCGGCGTCTTCTATTGTGAGCGTTGAGCTGAGTTGCTGGAATCCGGTGCTCACCGCCTCCCATGTGCTTTATCATTGGTCGCTTGACTGCAGGCCTTTGCTCGAATCGACGTACTCCTATAAAACATGTGGCTAATTCCTTGAAGCCACATGTCAGGGAAAGTTTAAGGTCGCTTCCCACTATTGCACCACTATCCTATCATCCCGTCTCACTTGAGATGCGCCAACTGGCTTCGCTCCCAGTTAAGAAAAGATCTCTACATAAAGAAAACATCTGCCAAAATCAAAATTTTATGAATTTAGCATCGCTCTTATTAATTGAAAAGTGACCATAGGTTTGTTTCATTCTTTTTTCCTTTTATTATAACATATTCACTTGACTTCCCAATAGAAACATTGCAGGATGAAGTTAAGAGCCACTTTTTCTTTCCTGAACAGTTCACAAACAATTGATTTTCTACTCGTGCCTCCACAATTTCGACACTTCATGGTAATTGCTTTTTTGGGTCGTAATTCAAGGGGCAGATAGCACAGTGCTAGTGACGCACGTCATCATGAGCATGGTGCTGGTTCAAATCCGCTTCAGACCAATTAAGCCTCTCATCCCTCCAAGGTCTGGAAATTGGTACCTGACTTGTATGGAAAAAAAATCTTTCGCTACAATCCATTTGGAAACGCTCTAGCCTGGCTGTCTCAGGTCTCCAAGGGAAATTGCTCGACCAGCCTTTTACGACATTCAAGATGAAATGAAAATCCCCATTCAGCAGCCGAAGCCACCCATAAAATTGGAAGATATTCGTGGGTTATGGATCCGCAAAAGCGAACTGAATGTGAGAAGTGCTGGGATCCGCACAGTGGACATAAAGACGGGTCAAATAAAATAAAATAAAATAACAGTTCCCAGGATCTTTCTTTTAGCCTCGGCATAGGAATATGAATGCGTAGTTTTCTTGTTCAGCAATCGCGAGGTTTTTAAACAGCATACATTCATTTCCTTAGAGAAACACAATACAATACAACACTAGCTGACGTTTCGGCAGTATCGCCTTCTTCACAGCCTGGAAGGATATAGTGATATACAATTTATTAGGCGAAACGTTCCAATAGCACATACAAAAAACCGAAAAAACCCTGTGGTAATTACATGATCAAGAGCTTCTCGAAACAGTCACTGCTTTTTTCGTGACTTCCAATGGAGAAGGTTAGAACAGCTGATTATAGTCGCATATGGATGATGACTGCATCACCGGAGCGACGAAGCAGAGCGGTGCACCAAAACGAAACACTTGGACAAAAGAAAGTCCTGTTTACGTTGCCCTTTATTAGCGATGAAGTCAGCGTAGGTATAAAACGATGCTTAAAAAGGGCAGATCTAGAAGAATCGGTAGTGATAGTTGAAATCCCATCGGATACTCTACGTCGTCAGTTAGTTCGTAACCGCCTCTATGACCGTCTATGTGAAACACCAAATTACGTAGTTCGCCGTTATGGCACGGACGCTGATTGCATGAGTTCAGGTACGATATACCTGATCTCTTGTAATAATTGCGGAGATGAATATATTGGCGAAACGGACAGACCTTTGTGTAAACACCTAGATGGCAAACGAAAACTAAGGCAAGGTACTAGTGAGTATTTCGAGAAGCTGTTGATCATGTAATTGCCATAGAGTGTTTCGTCTCCTTTTTAAATTGTAAATCAGTATACCCTTTCAGGCTCTGAAGAAGGCGATACTGCCGAAACGTCAGCTATTGTTGTATTGTATTGTGTTCTTCTATCAAAATAAAATAAATCTAGAACAAAGTGGGATCTCTGCTAGATTTCCATGGACAACTTGTCTACTTATTCCGGGAGCCAGTACGCAAATCCATTACTAACTATTTCAGGAAGAAATGTTGAAGTCTGTGATGATTACTTTTCTCTGCATGACCGCCGCCTGCGCACTTATGATTCCCAGTCTTATTGGAGCTTCGATGGCTTCGCTCTCAATGCTGTCGATATCGTTTTGTACGTTTATCTCAGCTTTCCATCACCACATTCCTCTCATTGATTAATCCAGTCTAAAAATCACAAACATCACTGTAGAATTATATCGATTATTGCATTTTCACAAACTGAATTATTTCAGCGTTGTTGGGATTCCTTTCGATCTGGGGCCAGGATTTGGACCCCGTCACGATGATCAATGTGCTCATGGCGATTGGATTCAGCGTCGACTTCAGGTTTGTTCTACTTCCATCGTGAGACTTCAGCTCCGTTACTTACTCGCGCTACCTGACTGTTCTTTTGGTTCCGGAGCGTTGCACTCTTTTTTTCTTGATGTTAAGTACTCTTCCTAACTTCACAACAGCTCTCCTCACTCGTATAGCGATATTAATTTTTTCTTTATTTCATTGTCTGTCAACACTGAGCGCGTAAACAGGTCCAATGACCAATCATTAGTTTTAAGTTTTTCCAAGGTCTAACGTTGGCGTTGGTCTACAAGTTATTGTGTTGTGTAGACATGTTACGAACTCTTCTTTTTGAGCTGTCATGAGCTTGTTTAGACCTTCAGTAATTCATAGTGTCTTTTGGGGAACTTCGCCTTTTTATAACACAAGTGTGTTATTGTGTGGCTTAGTTCATTAAATAGTTCTACTTTTCGAATGAAGACTTTATGAATAAATAACATTTGTGGAGAAAGCTCCGCAAACGTCCACCGTTCCTCCGTCGCCCACTTTTTAGTGCACGCGATCGAACACTCAAAGCTCACTAACGGCTCATATCACGTCTATAGATGAGGCAATCGGATTCTTCGCTCTCTTTTGAACGTTTAGAATTGGTCACTCTTAGAGCTTCTTAAGCGCTGACGGTTTCTTTCCTTTGTGGAGACAAAATTCTCCTCTAAAAAAACGTTGGATCAAGGTCTTAACATTAAATATCTGCATGGTGATAGTTGTACGTGTCTTGCATAGTGATGGGCTTTGTAGATGGTTAAACGCTCCACTCTAGTTTTCTCTTAAACGGAGATTAAATTGTCTACCTGTTCGCCATTGCATTCATTACCGTACACCTTCCGAGAGACTTAGTATAGTGGTCTCATCAAAGAAAGAGTTCCAGACGATGTGTACAGTCTATCGGAGGCCACCCATCAACTAGTGGACATTGAAATACAGCTACCGCGCTCCTTTACTGCTGAAACATAAGCTATTGTGAATAAACGTGTTACAACAACCTCGCGTCTCCTCATTAAGGAAGCACTAAATTTCTAACCAATGCCGAGGTGAACAGAAAGTCGCTCTTGGGACTTACCGTACAACGTACTTGAATTCATGCCTTATTTGCCGTTGGAACACGTTGTGCAATGTTGTGTTATACAGAAACCGCCGTAAAGTTGAAGGCAAAGAGCGTTAACTAGCTTTGACTAAAACTTCTTTACAGTTCACTCAGCTTGTAAACAACAGTTTGTAAGGCCACAAAGTTTTATAAACACCGGAGTCTTTCTTGTATTACTGAATACTTGAAAGTAATCGTAGATTTAGGGAGGATATCGCAGTGGTAGTGGTGTCCGTCAGCACAAGCACGGTGTTAGTTCGATTCGGCTCCGGGCCAACAAAGCCTCTTATCCCTCCGCGATCCGGAAATTGGTATCGGACTTGTCTTGGAAAAAATCGCTCTCTGCAATCCAATTGGGAACGCTCTAACCCGGCTATCTCAGGACTCTAGGGAGAATTGGATCGACCGCCAATCTATGACATTCATTCAAGATGAAATGGAAATCCTCAAGCAGCAACGGAATCCACACGTAAAAGTTGGAAGATCTTCGCGGACGATGGATGCAGGGAAACGAATTGGATGTGAGAAGTGCTGGGATCCGCACACTAGACGTGAACACGGATCAAATAAAATAAAATTAAAAAAACAGTGGATTTTGCTTCATCATACATCAGTAAAGTCCGATGACACTTATTTTTCGAGATTGTTGATTTCCAACATCAATTTTAGGTCTTCGAGAGCAACAGCAATTTTTGTCGATAAGCATATTCTGCTGTTCCCAATTACCTTGTGATTTACAAGATAGATAAATAATGTGGATGAGGTTTGAGTAAAATATTATTTAGTGCACATATTTGTTACCACTACCATTTGGGCGTGAGAAAAGGGAAACTCCTCAGTGGCAAAGAAGGAGTGCTGAAGGTCCTCCAAGTAGTTGGTAGACCGATGTTTGAGGTAGTATTATTTTAATTCACTTATATTGGAGTTCTTTGCAACTATAACTGATGTCATACTCCATGATTTAGGCGTCCTTCTCTACTGTTATCTGCATGACGCCATTGTTCTTCGTTCCAGTCTACCTAATCGTCTCGTTTGCGAAGACGATCTGCATTGTGGCATCACTGGGCTTGCTGCACGGCCTTGTCATCATCCCAGTCTGCTTATTTTCACTCACTAGAAGTCAGCAGCGGACGGTGAACAATGTTGTGCTGAATGAGGAGAAGGAGACGATGCTTCACGTGAATGAATCGGTCTCGTTTTGAAGTAAGGATTATATGCGGTGAAATGTTCTTAAAAACTGATCAAAGAAATCAGTGGGCACAAACCAATAGAGAAGTTCGGACGCGACTCTACCAATCAGTCAGTGCGCTCTACGGTCAAACTAAGCCAACTTTCTTTTTTCGAAAACTCATAGAATGCCTGTTGATTGCTTATACTATCTCTGGGTTTAACGTTAGAATTGCTAGAAAGTGTAATTTATGATTTTCAACCCATTGAGAAAATATGACTTAACTCTATGCCACTTGAAGACGAAGACGCCGAACTGCATTGAGTACTATGCATTTGACGCGCAAATAATGGTCGCTCTTAAGTTAAACCAAAATATCGTCCTGAACTTTATTTTAAACGAAAAATGTCTGACAACATAAAACCTTAGTTTCCTGGATTTCATGATACTTCTTTCATTCTTTGTTCTCGTGACAGTTCGCATTTCGAACACTGAAAGAAATTAGCAGGTCGGATCTCCTATAACAGGAAACAATGATCTTCTCCATTCCATCGCTGATATTCGTGGCTTCTGCGATTTTTTGAAATTTCACAAATTCAGAATAACTGTTTTGAGCTGGGTTAATTTAAAAGCCTCTTCTATAAATCCATGATGTTCTTAACTTCTCAGATACCCTAGACATTGAGAGAATATCAGTTGTCGAGAAACCAGCTTCCGATGTTTCATGCCACACACATGTATCTCACTTCATAATGAAGTTTACTAATCGAAATGAAAGTTACTAGCGAATCTAAAGCTTTTTTCAATAATACACTGTTTTGCTAGAATTTATTTCCAAGCTTCTGAAGTCCACGAGTCCTTTTTTCTTTCGCTCGTTGTCGCCCTGGTTTCTCATGCTTGCCCACTGAGCTAATTAACAAGCGGAGTTTCGTCCGGCAGAACAAGTGGGTGGTGCTGGTAAATGTGTTGTTGATATTGGCACCTGTTAACTCTATACTCCCGTTAAAACCTCTTAAAGTTTTCTATTTTTGCAGTTTTCAATTTAATTCGGTGTTTAGAAAAGTTCCAGAAGTTCCAGAGTGCTTTAGTTAAAGAAAACCTGCCCGCACCGCTGTCATTAAATTAGTATAGCTGAACATTCAAGACATTCGATGATCATATCCTGCAGTTCACATCGTTTACGGTCATTGCTTAGAACTGATTGTAATCCCCATATTACATTAATTTGGATAAGACGAGTCTTATTTTGATTTCAAATAGTTAATGGAAAATAAAGTGTGTTTGAACTTCTTTTTATACAGAAGAACTAACGTTTACTTAAATTAAGACTTCAAACGCTATCATTTAGAAGGTTCTTGGTTTGGTAACACTACTATTCTTCTTGAAAATGGTGCATGAGTTTGTTGCCTTACTTTGCATTTGGACTATGTACTGAAATGCGGGCGAATGTAGCGCAGCAGTGGAGGGCTCCCTGCAGTAAACATGGGATCGATCTCCGTGCCCTAGGTCTACCAAGTCCTCCATCTCTCCAGTGTCGGCAAATGGGTACCAGAGTTTTCTGTGATATCAGCACTGGCTCGACACACCGGTAGGCCACCGCGGATGATGCAAAGTCCAGCTTGCATTCATTCACCTCGAACGATGTTTAATGAAGTCGAATGAATGGCGCCCCCCTTGGGGATAGATCAACACCAAGGGCTTTATCCTCTCATCCCTTGGATCGCAACGCAGTTCCTTGCCAAACACTCTTGGTCGTTGGTTCGATCCCCGGCCCAGGGAATACCAAACCCTCCATTTTTCCGAGGTGGAAAAACTGATACCAGAATTGTCCAAGAGTAAGGAAAGACCCTGACTCGGTATATCAGTAATCTACCTCAAGTCATTATTTAGGCAGATATTCACTCGTTTCTACGTCGTTAAACGAAGTTGAAGCATAGACGAGATCCCTAAAGGATTTATCGATACCGAACGGCTTCATCCTTTTTCCTCTTCCTTCCATGTCGATGTCATACATATTCAATAATGATGATAGATATTGATGTTTTTATCGAGATCACTTTCTGGAGAGCCTGAAGAACAAATGATACGCATGGAGGTGTCATGAAGGAAATATTCGAATTCAATATAAAATGGGCACCAGGTTTAGATCACACTAAAGTTCAACTGAGCTGCAAGATTACGTCCGATTTTGGATTAATGACTTAAAGAGATTAAAGCTGTCTACGATGAAAGAAAACCATAAGCAGTAATATGAACAGTCGTGAAGTCGGAAGGGAATGGAAACCGCAAAGTCAACGGATGCATCTTTTTGTATTTGAGGAATCCTGGCAGTAGAAGTGTTATAAATCGGAAAAAACAGGAATACTCGTTGAGATCATTCTTCGACTGGTGAAATAATACCACCGATCAGCGAGGTTCTCCTATCGAGTAGGATGTTGTTGTTGTTGCGGATGACTAAGAAGATTCGGATCAGTCGAATAGGTTTTGCATTGAGGGCACATCCAAGTGACTTTCGAACACGCCGAATTCGCTTTACACCTGCAAGAAGAAGGTCTTCTACTAGCATTTTGCCACCGTATAACGTTAAAAGAAGTAAAATATCACTTCAAATCCTTTGCGATTTAAAAATCAGTTATGCAAAGGTTAAAATATTGTCACTGTATTAAAGACCTGGAACAATGGTGTGGCTGTAGACCGGGATTTTCCAGCAGCACAGAAAGGCGGTCAAGAATCGCTGCTCGAGCTCGGATTGAAAGACAGTCGTCTGGAAAATGAACATTTCACCGCGAATTGGTCCGTATCCTGCTCGTTCTTGAGAGTTTGAAGTAAACTCAGGCTTATAGGAGGTGTATTTACTATTCTTGCAATTGCAAGATCCTAAAAAAAAACTTGGCCGGCCATGCAGCTAAACTGCAACGATGGGCTCTTAATGTCTTCATCGGCGCTCAGTTTATCTTCACAACTGCAGTGTACAAAACGAACACTTTCCCATAAACCCAATATTGTGGATACTAGAAACATTCCCCTTCAAAAACAACGTTGGATTTTGTGTGTTACAACAAAACCACGCCTTCTTTTTCATAACCCTTAAAACTTTAGTGTTAACTCCTTTTTGCATTGCCAATCCAAAGAAAGCCCTATGTTTAAGCTATTATTTTCCGTCTTCTAAATGGATCCTCCTTTTTGAATGGTGAGAAAACGATTCCCAAGACCAACTTACCATTAACCTCGGCATTGATTGATAATTCACTGTTTTTCTTTTACAAGCAAACACGAGGTTGGTATTATAAAATTTATTGGCATGCAACAGCTGATGTTACGGTTGTTTCGCATTCATCAGAGCCTGGAAAGCACAAAATGACATGCAATCCACTCACCTTAACACTTTCATAACTTTAGCAGAGAAGACTTCACACGCAAATTTGTGTTTGGATTTAAACTTGCACGTGCTAAGTCTTATCTGGGAGCGGATAGCATAGTGCTAGTGATGTCCGGCATCACGACCACAGTGCTAGTTCGATTTCGCACTGGGCCAACCAAGCCTCCCACCCTCCGGGGTCGGGAGGCTGGCAGTGAAAATCACTCTCTGCAATTCAACTGGGAACGCTCTAGCCCAGCTATCTCAGGACTCCAGGGAGAATTGCTCGATAAGCATTCTACGACATTCAAGATGAAATGAAAATCCTCAAGCAGGTAAAAGTTGGAAGATTTTCGTGGACAATGAATGCGAGGAAACAAATCGAATGTGAGGAGTGCTGGGATCCGCACAGTAGACGTGAAGGTGGGTTAAATAAAATAAAAAGTTTTATCTATTAAGGTTATGGAAGTGTTGGACTGAGAAAGTTGCATGTCAATTTGACCCTTCCAGGCTCTGAAAAATGCGGAACCGCCAACATGTCAGCTATTGCATTCTAATGAATTCTACAATACCAACGTCGTTTGCTTATCGAAGAAATACAGTGGATGTGAAAACACCAAATACTTGATGAGCCTGGATAATTTCTTAAAACAAGAAGTTCTCACAGGTGGTCTGCTGTGTCATCTGAATGAGATGCTCAGGACGATGCACCATTAGAAGGCATTGGGGGACCATCTCATGCATGAAGCACCGGTCGAGCAACGACAAACGGACGAATACTGATAACTGCAAAGCAATCATTTCATATATTTTCAAGTGGAAAAGATAATCTATTATCACCTCCCGCTCGCACACATTCTGTTGGCAATCATATATCATAGAGTGGGAAATATGACCAGAAAAACTTTCTCACTTCCTCACACAAAGTTTTGACATGTACTAGGCAACAGAGATTGTTCATGTGAACCAGCGTGCAAGCAGCTTTCAGATTTCTGAAGAAGAACTTCAGAAAATCTGATGAATTTTTACACCTACGCACATAGCTTGCCGACTTCGATAAAGCCTGTGGAAAGATTGGTCTTCGACTAAATCTCACAAAGCGGTGTTCATGAAGAACGGGTTGGTTTCGCATGCCCTATTCACGCTCATTGGAACGAATATCTCCGAATGCTCCAGTTATATCTATTTAGGTCGGAAAATCAACGTGATGAACGACCTAGTTCCAGTGCTGAGCAGAAGGAAACGAGCGGCTTGTGGAGCTTTCAATAGCATCGAGGATGTAGTGAAGAAAACAAAGAACACCCGACCCCGTGCCCACCTTTTCGACTCAACGGTACTTCCTGCCCTAACGTGTGCGTCAGAAGCCTGGTCGCTGCGTAAGCAGGATGAAAGGTCACACAGCGTTATCGAACGTGCAGTCGAAAGGACGATGCTAGGAGTATCCCGTTCCATACAAATAAAGGATGAGATCCGAAGCCCCGACCTACGTCAACGATCAAAAATCAATGATGTCGTTCTGTACGCCAAACAGCCGACGATAAGGTGGGCCGGACAGGTAATGTGTATGAATGACAACCGATGGACAAGAGCCGTTAATGACTGCATTCCTCAGGATGTCAAGCGTACTGCAGGAACACCACCGACTCGATGGACAGATTTCTTCATGAAGAGCCTTGAAGAAAGATATGATACTCACGAGTCCCTGGAGTGAGCAAAACCCACTGGGCCACTTTTGCACGCGACAGAGAAAAATGGAAGATTTACTGGCACCCGCTCGAGTCACTCGACGATCAACGGGATTACAGATGATGCAGGTGATAACCACATAACACTGGTGCGAGCCGTTTTATCACTTTTTCTCATGTAAAAGCTAATGTTTATGAGATATCAGCAAAACTCCAGACTGCAGGTGTCTACGATGGGGAACGAACTTGTTATTACCCTTTCCGGGAGCTAACGCGTTTACCACCACACCTCGCGTATCCTTCATTTCTCTGTCTCTCAGTTAGTTCTATCGATCAGTACCATCAGCCGTCAGGTGATTACCCGTCAATGGGATTATTCTGGAGAGCCCAAATCGGCATTGAACTCAGTTAAGCTGAGGCTGTAGTTGAAATAACAATGTCAACTTTTTATTTGCTGCCTACTACAATTTTTACGGCAGAGTATTGTTTATGTTTTTATGATAAGACGGCAATTTCTAGAGGCTGCAGCCTCTTCACTGTTTGCTTAGTGTTTTTAAAAAGAATGCAGAAGCAGAGAGAATCTTCTACATTTTAAATAAGCGTTCTATAACCGAAAAGCTAAAAGAAACGTGGATCAGAATTACAACAACTTGAACTGGACCGTGAACGAAAGTCTTAAGAAATCTTCTTTTCTTGCCATCCATTGAATTTTCAGACGGCAATTGTGAATCTCAGAAGCTTAAAAAAGTAAGTTCTACCTGTGTTTGTTGCGCGAGAAGCAACGTGGCACATTTTCTGAGCAGAGCTGGTGATTCCATCTTGCAAGCTGCCATCAGCACCGGACCAATGTTCTGCTCTGAAAATCAGCACTAAATTAACACTTATCTCCAATTTCCCTTACATAAACCATTTACGTCATCTAAGAAATCGTTTTAGCATCTACCACTTTGTTGTGAAGAAGGTGAAAAAGTGACAAGGTGCAAATTCTAACCATGTAGGCATTTGAAATGAGGAAAAAAGAGAACGCAGAGAAACGACGTTCTACTCTGCGATTTGAAAAGCTTAGGAGATTCGAGTTGAAAGGCCAGGATCGATATGTCTTAAGGATTTCAGACTCTTATCTTCCATCTCTTTAGCAACAGATATCAGTCGAATAAACACGTACCGCTTAGACGAAGTTGTGGCGGATGAATAGCCATAAGGAACGCTTTCAATTCCTCATGTGAACATGGACAGAATATTTCTTCGACGCCAGAAGATGAGCAGTAGACACGCTCCTGCAGAGGACATATTGGATTTAAATGTTCCGAAATTAAACGTGCTGAGAAATTTCGCTGATCTGCTAGCGATTTCACCAGAACGTTAGCAACGTAGAGCAGTGAATCATGTTAGAAATTCGACTGAATTTATGAATGCAGTCCATGAGGAAGAAAGGCGCTAGCTCGATCCCTCCTCTCCCCAATCCCTGCAGGAACGCCTTACTCAGCTATCGTTAAGATTACAAGAAAATCCGACTCGACCAGCACTGAACGATATTCATAAAGAGGATCAAATCTCAAGCCGCAGATGAAACGACATGCGAAACGTTCGAAGACCTTTGTGGACAATGAATGCGTTTTAGTAAATAATATAATAAAATTGCAAAAAAATCCTGACAGTCCTAAACATCAGCAACGAATTTGGAAAAATTATTATTTTTCAATGTTAGAAATGCCATTTCCCCAACCATTTTTGTTTTCGAAATACGAACCTCGACGGAAGAAAGTGTATAAAATAGGTTTCCTACTTGGATATCTGGACGGCCCGTCCTCACTGCTTGTGCGGGCCCAGCACAATCTCCACTCTTTGGAATTCTGCCATTTAAGCCATTGTGGTTCCCTAGAGTCTCGACGTCAGTCTGGCCAAAGTTTGCCTCAGGTCGTTACCACTACAGGTAGTCGCCGCCCTTATGGATCAGAGGGAGATTTGCCACCATGCGACTAGTTTGATACCGGGACGATGGTGTATTCCGGTATTGGTTTACTCCTACTTAGGCTTCCCTATTGAAGCGTCGAAAACAGGTTTCTTACCTTCGAAAAAATTGAAGTCTCATTATTGCAAAGCGCGAAGCTCTCATCTTACAGAAAAGATCTGTAGATCTCAAGTAGATTTCAATATTTCTTCTGGCGATTAATGAAGTTGAATTATAGTGTGAGATATGTCGGTGCAAAATTGAAATCTGCTGCTACTTTTGCATTGTGTGAGTGGAAATCAACTCACGTCGGTCTTAAGTAGGATCCCTATTTAAGAACGAAGTCTTTACCGATTCCAGTCAGGTTAAAAACTGTTCTTAGAGTGAGACATATTGTACGCCGTCTTCAAAATATATTTATATTGGAAGCCACTTGAAACCTTGAAATTTTCTATAGAGTTTATTCTTTGGCCACTTCTCACTTCTCACCCGGTTCTCTGAGTGGATTTTAGTGGTGCTGTAAGCATTTCTTGTCAAGATAGACTTTCATAGTTTTGTTGCTGGCACTCCTTTGAAAATCGTGATTTCTTTCATTTCAGATCTACTAGGTCATAATTCCCATGAAATCAATAAATGGGCATACCCATTTTGTGTCCGTCTGGCTTAATAACAAAAATATCTTTGTTATTGGAAAAATGGATAGATGGGCGGAAGGAATAGCAGAGTGGACTTCGCAAGTGTGCAGGTGTCCCCTAGGACGGCCGTCTACACGTTGAGCGGACTTGTTCGTAACCAAAGTTAATCATCTGCGCTCGCAGCTGCAGTTGTTTTATAGAACGTGATATGAAACTTGCACCCGCCACCATGCTCGAACAAAACCACCACCATGGAAGACGACTGCGAGCGAAAGAAATGAATGGCAAATTTGCTGAGATTCGCATAACTCGTGAAGACGGACCGTCCAAATATCCAAGTATCCAAGCATAGGAAAAATGAATCTGTTTGTTGGAAGCGCCTCTGACATGCTGCTCACAGCAACAAATAGGAATACATGAACAGATTTTGTAAAGTGAAACAATTTTCCGAATCATCAAGTTTGTCGTACAATAGCCATTTGTGTCAATTTTCAATTTTCTCTTTTTATTGATTTTTAGGGGCTTAAAAGACTGTTTACCAAAAGGCTACTGTAAGAACGAAAAACTGAGGAAAAACCAAAAGGTTCGTAACATCGTTTTGAGTGAAAGACGGAATTTCTAGGACGCACACTAACGACGAGGCGCCCTGATTTCAATGCGCATGATGCGAAAACAACAGCCGTTTTCAGCTTTGACTAAACAAATTTCGGCCCATATCAAATATTCTTCGTTAGAATGGAAGCCATTGTAATCCACTGATCAGAAGATATAAGTTCTCTTATTCTAAAAGACAAAAACAATTTTTTCTTATTCTACAACGATAAGGCCCATATTACAGAAAACACAAGACGTTTTTTTAAACTTTTTTCCTCGTTGAGGCTCGTATTTCGGAACTGAGTCGAGTTGAATAGGCGGGATCTCGTCCAGAAGAACATCATGCCCTTCTCTAATCTACCATCGAACTTCATGGCTCTCGCAACCCTGCACTGACTTTGGGATTTCTGAAGATTTGACGGTGTACACTGTACATGATCACATGTTGACGAAAATTATCGCACAAATCAAATTTTAACAAGCATATCTTAGCTCAAAAAGGATAAAGGATGAAGCGCTTGGTGTTGATAAGTCCTTCAGGATTCGTTCATGCATTAGACTCCATNGAAAACAACAGCCGTTTTCAGCTTTGACTAAACAAATTTCGGCCCATATCAAATATTCTTCGTTAGAATGGAAGCCATTGTAATCCACTGATCAGAAGATATAAGTTCTCTTATTCTAAAAGACAAAAACAATTTTTTCTTATTCTACAACGATAAGGCCCATATTACAGAAAACACAAGACGTTTTTTTAAACTTTTTTCCTCGTTGAGGCTCGTATTTCGGAACTGAGTCGAGTTGAATAGGCGGGATCTCGTCCAGAAGAACATCATGCCCTTCTCTAATCTACCATCGAACTTCATGGCTCTCGCAACCCTGCACTGACTTTGGGATTTCTGAAGATTTGACGGTGTACACTGTACATGATCACATGTTGACGAAAATTATCGCACAAATCAAATTTTAACAAGCATATCTTAGCTCAAAAAGGATAAAGGATGAAGCGCTTGGTGTTGATAAGTCCTTCAGGATTCGTTCATGCATTAGACTCCATTAAGGATTGTTAGAGATGATCGAATGCATATCTGGCATTTACAATGGCTCGCCTTGGCCTACCGATGTATCGACCTGGTGCTGCTATCCTCCCAGACAAGTCTGGTACTAATTTGCCGACCTTGGTGGGCCAAGGAGGCGGGAATCGATCCCGTGTGATCCCGTTTGTATTGCGGGGTGCCTCTAACCATTTTTTTCTACAAGTCCCTAAAGTTCTCTTCTCAACTCCTTCGCTACTCTACCAAATAGAGAAATTGTCGCTTGTTATCGAAAACCAGCTCCGTGGTGATATCGCATATGGAGGATATATGCAACCGTTTTCAAATTTTTACGGTCTTGTACTGTTGAAAATTTTTCATGAAATGTTTCTAGAACATATGACCCTTGGAATCACTTCATCTCGGAAATAAACCAGGAAAAGTTCCATAAGAGGTATTGAGTAAACATTTTTAGCACATGGAGAATAGCTTCTATCAGAAAAACTAGATAATATAGCGGTGATGGCCCAATGTTTAGTGGTGTCTTGGAACACACACGTACTCGTTGGTCCGACCCCATGCTTTGTGATCACAAACGCTTCCACCCCTTTAGTGGCGCAAATTGGTACCAGATTGGTCTTTAAGGATAACAGCACTGGCTCATTACATTGGTAGGCCCCACAAGTCATTGTATAGACCAGATATGCATCCAATCATCTCAACGATTTCGCGAATAAGGTCCAATGTATGACGCGCCTCCAACTGGTTGATTAACGCCGAACGCGTTATACTTCCGATTCTTTGTAGCACTAACGAGGATCAACAGCACAAATCAGCATTACATCATATTTAAAGCGATTAAACGAAATGAAACTCGTGTTAACGTGCACTTATTTTACAACTGCTCGACTGGAAGAGCCAAAAAGACCAGCACAAATCAGAACCTCTTCGTGCACACAGGCTGATAGCTGATGGAAGATTTCTTAGGGAAGTTCAAATATTTTGCGCAGGATGGATAGTGTTAGGCAAGAAGTTTTCGAAACAGTAGATGTGGATGGAAACTGCAAACGATTAATGACAACCATCACCTGGAACACATTGGACCACGCAGCCATGTAATAGGGATTTACATGGTATACTCGTCCGGTTTTTGCGCGAATCGCAGTGAAAAAGAGATCGGACTGTCGCTGGAATATTTCCAGATCCACAGGCGGCTCGGCGATTTCCTAGACAACAAATTTACCGATTAACTTTTAATGATACTGAGATATTTACAAAACTACCGACTGTTGGTGTCTGCGGCGGGGAACGAACGCACTATTGTCCTTTCCTGGGAGTAACGCGTTCACCACCACACCATGTGGATCCTTCGTTTCGTCTGTCTCTCAGCTAGTTCTATCGATCTTTTGCCATAAGCAATCAGCCATCAACGGGATTGATCTGGGGAGCCCAAATCGGCATTGAACCCAGTTAAGCTGAGGCTGCAGTTATAATCACAATTTTAACTTATTACGGGTGATTGCTTATGGCAAAAGATCGATAGAACTAGCTGAGAGACAGACGAAACGAAGGATCCACATGGTGTGGTGGTGAACGCGTTACTCCCAGGAAAGGACAATAATGTGTTCGTTCCCCACCGCAGACACCAACAGTCTGTAGTTTTGTAAATATCTCAGCAACATTAAAAGTTATATTTCTCAGTATATACCCTGTCGTTAAAAAGATTAGGCAGTAAATAATAAGTTAGAATTACCGATTAACGTTCAACGAGGTCTTTGTTTAATGGATACCTCAGGTGGTGGGGCACTATGAAGTCGTTCAAGTAGAAGAACTTTAACCCTGTCGCTCAACGCGTAGTAGCGTGATCCTGTCAGATCCACCTTGTTGTTCGGTCGCATCTCCCGTAAACACAAAATCAATAACCGATTTAATTTGTACCTGAAAACTTTTAAAATGAATAATTGCCATTTTTCGATGCAGAATGCGACCATACCTCCTGCAAATAATCAATCTGACTACTTAAAATGTATTTCGGGTGTCTGCAATTCGATTTTATTCATCGTTGATAGACTTCCTATTACTAACGATGATCTTCAACATGTAAGTTTATTGGCTGATTCACCTATCGGCTATCCACACCTTTTCCAGGAATGGCAAATTGTGACTGATGAGAAAGCACTCACAACGATGTAGTAGTCCATCCATCTGCAACATAAATAGAAGTCCGTTGTTCACTATCATTTCTGGAAAATTTGACAACCGCCCTTAATCGTCTTACTATCAAAGGCTAAAGTTCCGAGGTGTGGGCCACTGAGACGAAAAAACTATAAACCTGGTAGAACTTCTAGAGAACATATATTTATATATATATGCATATATATATAATTGTATTTGTGGCTATATTTAGGGTACATGTGGCGTAGTGGTCGGAGGCGCCCTGCAACACACACATGGGACCGATCTCCGTTCTCCGCGCCTCTAATCCACCAAGGCTTCCATCCCTCCGGGGTCGGAAAATTGATACCAAACTTGTCTGGGAAGATAGCAGCACTGGCCCGATACATCAATAGGCTGCCGTGAACCGTAAAAGCCAGATACGCATTCAATGGTTCTCAACGATGCTTAACGAAGTCGAATGCATAGCACATGCCTCAGGGATTGATCAACGCCAAGAGCCTTATCCTTTATCCTTTTACCCATATTTACATTTATATCTATATATATGCACATATTTTAATAGTTCCCAGGATCGACTTTCTATTAACCTCGGCATTGGAATATGAATGTGTCGTTTTCTTGTTCAGCAATCGCGAGGTCGTTCTACTATACAGCATACATCTACTTCCATAGAAAAACACAATACAATACAACGCTAGCTGACGTTTCGGCAGTATCGTCTTCTTCAGAGCCTGGAAGGGTACGCTGATATACGCTCTACTAGGCCAAACGCTTCAATAACACTTACAAAAAGACGAAGAACTCTCCGGTAATTACATAATCAACAACTTCTTGGAAAAACCCACCGCTTTTTCGTGACTTCCAATGAGGAAGCTTAGAACAGCTGATTATAGTCGCATATGGTCGTAGAGTGTATATCAGCATACCCTTCCAGGCTCTGAAGAAGGCGATACTGCCGAAACGTCAGCTAGCGTTGTATTGTATTGTGTTTTTCTATGGAAGGAAGTGTATGCTGTTTAAAAACCTCGCGATTGCTAAACAAGAAAACGACACATTCATATGCACATATTTTTTATAGGAACTCGATATCTCGCCCTACTTGCATCACTGGGCCGTTTATTTTTATTCTTCTTACAGTTTCCGAGTCAATATTTTGAAAGGAACTTCTTTGTAGAAGTACAAACCCAAGCACAACCCTGAAGCTTCAGCTATTCGTTGCATTCACCATATCCGCTTTGATAACGACAGTTCTTGTCAAACATAAATAAAGAGTTCCCTCAGTTGTCAAGTTGGGTATTTTGCCCTGATTTGTAAACGTTAAAGGGAATTTCAAGGAAATGAGTTGGAACACTCTGTAAAATTCTTTCTACACCAATATCGGCATCGAACACTCAGCGAGAAACGGTTAAAGCATCCGACCTAACCTGATAATCGTATGCGAGTGGGAGAAGTATGTGCACAGATTGGTCATCAACTGATTTGTAGGTGGGGTGGATACACTCCAGCATCTCCACCACATGTTCGTACTGCACGTTCGCCAGGATCAGTTCGCGATCTGGGCACTCGACGCACCAAGCCCTGAACATAGGCCATTTAATGTGGCAGGAATTAAGTGCATTCATTTCTTAGAATCTGTTTAAAATTATAGGCTTTGGTTTTCTGGCTCAACTTCTGAGAGCGGTGATCCGAGCTACCAAAATGTGATATGCAGCAAGATGTTCATCTCAGCGTCGTACCGCCACTTAAGAACTTGAAATGTCTAAACGTATGCTCAGGTAGAGTAATACTATGAATTTTCCTCTCCCTAGGAGAATTGGTTAAAAAAGTTGCTCAACTGACAAAACTCTGATACATTCCGGTAGAACTCTCAAAATACTGGAAATTATCCAAGTAGGTGTTGAATTTATGGTATCGCTTTGATAACGTCGATAAGCGCTAGACTGAAGAAGGAGGACTACGTGGAGCTGAGATGCGCAGCGGGCAGTCAAGGTGGTAAACGCTGTTGACCGAAATAACACGGTTTTCAGACTTTAAAAAAAAGTACTAAAAGACGTATTTCCTATATTTTCATGGCGTACAATTAAAAAGTTATCCGTTTAAAATGCTGACAATATTTCACTGCTCTGTAATCAAATTTTGCCTAAAGTACTAACTGAGGCCTTATTTAACCACCTTAGTACTGGAGACCACACAGAGATGTAGTGCTCGTCTACATAGAGCCGCTTGTTCTCAACTAGCAACGGCCTCGTTCGTTGACCATCAGGACGAGTGAAGTCGATGGACACATCGATCGAGGGACCTAATGGTCCCTCTACAGGCGTACGCGGGCGTGGTGTGGCAAACACGGCGAATGGTTCTCTGCAGAGGAATAAGAGATTAAAAGTGGAATTATGGAAAAATATAGAGTGAGAACGGAACACCAAGGAAGCAGAACAACCGAAATCGAAGTGGGAGCGGTCTCCTAAAGTGGTGATAGGAAAATCACTTCAGTGTGCACCTTCTCACATCAAAATCGCTTGAAACCATTACAACAAAACTGATACTAGCTGATGTGAACGAAGGTTGATAACAAGCGTATAAACTCTAGATATTGTAGGTTATTGCCAGGTGAATGGGTAAACAAGGATGGGTAAGCGACACAGGAAGAGCAAACGCGGCTGAAATATGTCCTCGAAACTTTCCAGCTTGACATGGCAACATACTTGATAAGTCACAATGTTAACTTTTTTATTTACTGTTATTACAATTTTTCATGGCAGGTTATTATGTGTAATACAACCACAGTGATGCTGAAATATTTGCAAAACACCGTACCGCAGGTGTCTGCGGTGGGGAACGAACACGCACGCACTATTTCCCTTTCCGCGAGCTAACGCGTTCACCACCACACCATGCGGGTCCTTCGTTGAGAGGCAGTCATACATTATAAGTGATTACGAGAATGAATTTTAGATTTTTTGTGCGAGACACTTACATCTGTTATTAAGTGAACGGAAAGCCTGCAGACATCACAAGTTTTTAAGTAGTTCAGATATGGTGACAAAGTTATCCGAGTGAGATGTACAGCGGGGAATTCATCCCCAGACAGGGTCTGCCAGGCTGAGAAGGAGTTCGGCGTTTCTATCAGGAAGCCTAACTAAGAATAAACCAATACCAGGATCCACTACCGTCCTGGCATCAAAGTCGCATGGTGGCAAATTTCTATGTGATCCACAAAGGCTGCCACTACCTGTGGTGGCGAAGATCTGAGACTTTGGACGGCTGATCCTGAATTCCAGAGAACCACAATGGCTTAACCAGCATATCTCCGAAAAACGGAGGTTATGCTGGGGCCGCACAACCAGTCAGCATGGGCCATTCAAGTATCAAGTAAGTAAGTATCGTATAAGATAGGAAACAACAAAAAGAGCGTAGAGAAATCAAAGCGACATATACAGTAAAAGCCATTTGAAAAGATGAATTTGTTAAGTAAATCAGAAATATTGAAGAGTGGTTTGGGCTTTTATTTATTAGCATTGCCTGTACTTGAACAGTTCAGTGGCTCGTCTTCAATAAAGAGTTCGTGTGGGCTACAGAATAATTTCCGTATAAACGGTACGGTATTGCATTAACAAAGATCCTCCTTGAACTCGACAGAAAATGATTGCAGAGCTTCCCTATGTCTCTCGTTTCACTTTTCCAAAAGTAGCTGCGAGTTCTTGCGGGGACTAGGGAAGATTGTTATCTATTGACTCGGTTCCCTACAAAAATTCAGCTATACCGTTATGTTCAAAGCAGAAATTATTCGTGTCAAATGTTCAGTTAATAGATGGAGTTTTCAGCTAAGCACGGAACAGTTTCTACTCCAACTTTACTTACTCGGATGGTCCGTCTTTACTGGTTGTGTGAGCCCCAGTATAACTACCGTTCTTTTCCGAGTTCTGCTGGTTTAGCCAGTGTAGTTCTTGAAGTCCCGAGGTCAGCCTGGCCAAACTCTGCCCCAGGTCCTCACTACTACAGGAAGTTGCAGCCCTTGTGGATCAGAGGAAGATTTGCCACCATGCGATTTTGATACTAGGACAGTGGTGGATCGTGGTAATGGTTTACTCTTAGCTAGGCTTTCTGATGGAAACGCCAGACCCTTTCTCACCTTGAGAGACCCAGCCAAGAGATGAATCCCCCGCTGTACATCGCAGTTGGATACCCAGGAACACCTCCCAGCCACGGTGAGTCGGTAAACCGCTGGAAGGAGTCCAATAAAACCCACCATTTGTTGGTCTTGTGGCGGGGCAAACGCGGAGATTGCCGTACATTCTCAGAACCAGAACAATCTTCTGCAATCATGAAGTTGAGTTACTAAAGCATTGTTTTCTACTGCATTCTATTGTCGTAATACATCGGAAAGTTGACCGTAGCGGCAAAGAAGAATAATTATAAGTGAGAAACGGCACCTTAGCACCTCGGCTACCGGATGAAGCTCTTACAATAGAAGAGCAGCTTTTCTCAATTTCTCTATTCTCGGCTCTCTATCTCTTTTTTCTCTGGGCAACAACAGCTCGGAGTGTTAGTTTTCACCTCAGCACGAACATCAATGAATCCACGATGTCTTCACAACTCGGACCCCCCCCCCCCTGTAGAAATGCTCCGAACACACTTTTCTTCATCTTTCATATATGCTCCAGCATACAACTAAGACAAATATGGAGTGAAATTGCTCTAAGGCCGTAGTTAACGACATGGCGCCGCCTGCGGAGAAAAATAGAGGGAACAAGACGAATAATTACATTGAATCATGAATTATAGTGGCGTTCAATAGTATTCAACGTTGATCACACTTTCAGAAGAGTTCAGTTTTTGCAATTCATTCCCCACCACAGACACCTGCGCTCCGGAGTTTTGCAAATGTCTCAGCATCATTGAAGTCATATTTCGCAACATACCCTGCCATTAAAGAGAGTAGGCAGTAAATAATAAGCTGAAAAAGTTCAGTAGCACATGGCGAATAGCAAAACAACAATTTTGATGAAGACGAGGACGTCGAAACGTTAGTCGAATAAACATCTCATATCAACCCCGTGTAAGCTCAACAGTATAAACAAAAGTCCAATTCGCTGCGCAAGAGAAGACGACATACTGCGGTTTATCAAATGATTTACAGACGTTCTATCTAACCTAAACGGCACCGGTTCGTTGCACTGACGTTTTATGGACTTTCATAGACTCATCAACGCTCTCGTGCCAAAGTCAATATTCTTTAAAAAGAATAAAAAGCAGAATTGTGCGACAACATCATCAACTGGAATACCATTTTATTATGTAGAAACTTATTGAGTTTGTTGAGTTGGACATCACTAATTAAGTTGTCTTCGATCCATCAATCCAGAAAACTTGGCACATCAATAGTTTCCATGAGTTTCATAGGAACATACCGTGAAGTATACTTAAGAATTATGCGGAAACACTCCGACAAAAGAAGGAGCAATTTCATCACGCCTTAATAAGCCGACCTTCACGTAACATCAGTGCGAATAATCATTATTTTTCTTTAGAATTTCCAGTTTACTTGAGGCTTCCATACAACTCCTACACGACCGATGCTTTAACGCCTTTGTCTTCTTCAGAACCTCATTAATTCCAGCCGGATTAATTCGAGTTAAAGCAGCGAAGAATACATTGTGAGACGGGTAAACCGTCTTATGTCCGCATGAAAGAACATCTGTATGGGAGAGTTAAACTTCGTCAAAGCACTCCTCTAGGTACGCGTAGGACGCAGAAGCATAATGGCAATAATTTTGAAGTGACAGTGCGGATGCTAGCACAGGAATCAAAAACATCAACGCGCAAGACTCTCGAGGCGTTTTGGATAAATTTCAAAAATCCGAGGATGAACCGAAAAGGCGGATGCCTCACTATCACACATGATCTGGCGCCTTATTTCAAAATGATTTTTTGACCTGAATGAGCCTCACTTGCCGTCCCACATGAACAATACGCGGGTAGTCCCACTCATAACAGCACGGTGAATAGCCTTTTTGGTCAATATGGCGTTTATTTATATGTAAGGTCTTCATTAGTACTGAAGTGTTTTTTTTCACCGAATTACAAGACTATTGTTGTATAAAATACGTCCAGGCTCTGAGGGCTCTGATGAAGGCAAGATCGCCGAGACGTCAGCCATCGAACAACAACGCTAACAACAATGACGACGACAACAAAAGCCTATACCAACCCCGCATCAGCTCAAAATGATCACTTTACAAGACAATACAAATAATTCGTGTTGATTGTTCACAGTCACTCCTCATTCTGTAAAGAAAGGCACCGCCGAGTGAAGTCACTTCATTCGAGAGGTGCTCCATTGCACTAGATTCGATTTCAAGAAGATCGACATTACAGGAGTGAATGTTTGGACAGTAGACTCCGATCAACCTCGTTTTAATGAAAACGAAAACGTCAAATCTCAGACGAATAAAGCTTTATGTCAACTTCGTGTAAGCTGAACAATCTGAAGAAGTTTGTTAGTATGACTACAGTTCTCTTTACAATAGTTAACCAGAAGTGGTACGCAATGGGGATTAGTTTTCGAATACATTACATTTGTAGCAGCAACATACCACAGCACATAAAGATGAATGGTCAGTTAAGGTCAGTTCTTTTAAAGAATAGTTGAAATTTCAGATAACCTTGCGGAACACGAAGTTGGTTAAGTGAATTGCTTGTTGATGACCATTCACGCACAAGAGAACCTGCTACTTGGAACAGTATCCCAATAAGAATGGGTGATTCTGTTCCAAAGGCACCGTGATTGGGGATTCAGTGCTCAATTCAAAGAAGGACAGCATAAAAGCTTAGAGCAACAGAACAAAGGGTTAAGTTAGATAGAAAGCACCTCCTAGCTCCCATCGCACATTCGCTCCCTTCCTTAAATTAAGTTTTTCCCCTTGTGATTTATGTCTATAGATCTTCTTCTTCTGAATGATCTTAAAGGAGTTAGTGGCAAAGGCTTTCATATTCACAGGATGTGAATAGGTCCCGATGTGTATACGGATCAAAACCATTTTGGTTCGAAGCATCTGATTTCAGGAGAATGACTTCATGTTTCTGCCTCACAGGATTCGATTAGGCTATCAGCATGAAATATCTACGTATACACGTTGGATATGTAAATGCATTTGCGAACTTCATGCCGCACCTCGATCTGAGCAAAAACCAGCAGTCCAACCGCATGATAGCGCGTGAGAGATCGTTCTTTGATGCTTGCAATAAATAAGTCCCAAGTCTACTTCGAAAGAGCTCAATAGGCTGGCTGCCTGTGAATGTTTTCACGTCACACAGCAGGGGTCGACGGGTGTTCTCGTGACAAGAGAGGATCTCATAAGGAAGCCACGATATCTTTGGTTTGTGTTGTTTATTGAACAAGTCATTGCTCTGGAGCTCAATATTC